TGAAGAGAGATAAACAGAAAACGTGTCAAGCACAAACAACCTCAGGTCTTGCAATGCAAATATTGGGAGGCACATTGTTTGAGTTTATTGAACAGTTATCCCAGTAAAAGCAGAAATCCTTAGTATTGCAGAACGTCAAAACAAAAAGAGAACAAACAAGCTAAAAGGTCTATCATTTTGCATCCGTAATAACAACTACTATGCAAAATAAACGACTGATTCTTTTACTATTCTAAAATTTTGGATCATAATCTTACAAAAGGTTACTAAAACGTTTTTTCCGTCCTACTTACTTAATTGATGTCATTTTTTAAAATTTCTTTAAGTTCCCAAAACCCCAAATATGAGTCGCATAAGGCGCTTTTCGCTTGATTGCCGGCGGTAAAGTGGTCGTTCAAAGTTTTCACAGTCTACAATTTAGTTAGCTAGTGTCTTCCATAATATTAGTAAATAATAACATGAGCGGTTTAATTCGTTACGTATTTGAATTATTTATTTATAAACTTTTAGGCCAATACTCTAGCCTTAGCTTAACACCATCTCACGTGAATATTATAATGCCATCGGCGATTATTCAGTTTTCACTCGGGAGCGTGGTTACAATTACGGATGAGCAGAATATTGTTTGCAGTGAGCAAAACACATTTAGACGGTACTACGCATGAGCAGACCATTATTTGTAGGCAGTTATTTGCAGGGCACGTGGTGGGCTCTCGGCCAATGAAACGGAAGGAAAAAATGCATCGAATGATAATCTGAGTTGTTTACCAGTTTGTTATAGTATGAACACGAAAAAGCTAAAAACTCCTTAATGCATGGATGCCTCAAAGTAAAACGAAACCTTTAAACTAGCAAGCCACATCGACAAAAATCGGACGAATTTTGACAACAAAAACGTCGATATATTTAAGTCAAGCTCTCCCCAAATCCGTGTTTAGTACTTACTACAATTCACTAACATGAGAGCATCTCCACAACACGGCAATTTCAGCCGGTTTATAAACGTCAGTTGCACACTTACTCACAGGTAACCTTGTCATTAAAAAAAAAAAAGCTATGGTCTTCTATGTGATCATTTGTAGTTTTCATACTCCAGTGATTGTTCAGCGACAAAAGATTTTCTTCAATAAAGTCATGACTGGTGCACGTATAGCAGGA